GTTGTTGCTGTTCTATTTTTTGTCCGGGAAATGGACAAATCGTTTTTAGACAGTTCGAATATTTTTTTGATGACAAATATTTTTTGCAATATATTTTGCAAAATTTCTTTTTTTGAAATGGATGAGGCGAGGAGATTGAGGAAATGACATTTTGGAGGGTAGTTGGTGAAATGAATGAGGCAAGGAGAAAGGAGAAAAGGATGGCGAAAATTTTGGAAAAATGATGAGAAAAAAACGGATGAGATGGACAGAAAGGAATGTAGAAAAATGATGAAAACGAATAAGGGTAGAAGATGGAAGATGAAAAAAAATGTAGGGTGGGGGGTATGTATGAAGCAATTTATTTGCGGGGCGAGGCCCCCGACTACTGATAGCACCGACCGCAACGCTCACACCACAAGGTCCTTCGGACACAGGATATGCAGGAGACGACTGGCAGTTCAAAACAAAATGCGAACTTGTCAGAGAACAATCGACACAGGAGGCATTTTTTTCACACCATCAAGAACACAGTGCCCAGTCCCAGCAGAGCAACTTGGGCACTACAGGAAGACAACCATCAGATTCAAGGATGGTGCGACGAATACGTTTGAGGACAAGTGTCAAACAAGGGAAGCGCCAAACAGAGCACAACAACAGATGTCGAAAGGAGAAACAGCATTCAGGATCAAGAAAGGCAAATCATTGCCAGAAACACTACAGCAACAGTTTGCAACAAAGACACAGCCAAGGAGCGAGCCACAGATGGTCACACCACAAGCGATCCAGCACAACCCACGGACGCGATTGAGAGAGAAAACAACACCACCAACTCTACAGGAGTCAGCAGCGCCACACACCACCAAAGGTGCAGCTGGACATGGACTTCCACACCCTTCAGAAGTACATCGCGGAGGAGACCACTGGTACAGAGAAGGCTCATACTGGAAAAGAGTACACATCGGGCCACGCGCAACGTTCTACATACCAGAGCAAACACATGATCCAGACATCAAGCGACTTACACCTTGGAGACAGACCAAGGTACAACCAGTAGGAGATGAGCGCAGCACAAGATTAGTAGAAGATGAACGGACAAGACAGCAAGCAAAGACATCAGACAAGCCCTGGACAGGCTGGGCAAACTTTAAGGAACATCAGGAGTTTCCAACGCAACTTGAGTCAGATGATGAGAAGCAACAGCAAGGTACACAAGCAAAAGCAACACAAGCGCCCAAGCAACCAACACCGCAGGACATACTTGATTTTCGAGCACAACGTGACACACCTCCCTTGCAGGAGTTGGTGTCCAATATGCGAACAAGCGAGAGGCAGACCGAACAACCGCCCAAAGCAGCACCAATCACACAGCTTGACTTCGGCTACATCAAAGGCTTTGATGACAGTAACGTACATCCGCTTTATAAAGAAGCCTTTATAAGAGCCTGTAGAAGCAAGTGTAGAAAATGTGAAACCCTCAAAACCATGCAAATGGAGGGTTCCACAAGTTCTACACTTTGTAAGGGTTCCTTTATAGAAGCTCCTTTAAAAAGAAGCTTTATAAGGAAGCTTTATAAGACCTTTATAAAGAAGCCTTTATAAGAGCCTGTAGAAGCAGGTGTAGAAAATGAAAAACCATCAAACCATGGAAATGGAAGGTTTCACACGTTCTACGCTTTGTAAGGGTTCCTTTAAAAATGCTCCTATAGAAGGAAGCTCTATAAGGAAGCTTTATAAGACCTTTATAAAGAAGCCTTTATAAGAGCCTGTAGAAGCAAGCGTGGTCATTCCTGATTCTTCCAGGATGATGTCGACACATTTGGTGTTCAAGCTGATGTCGATGTAATTGCCTTTGTGTGATATGTTTCGACCGAGGAAGTGTATGGTCGATCCCACTGTTAGGTCGCCTGTGTGTCTCAGCAAAACTTCCTTTTGTATTCTGCTGAACAATGAACAATGTGTCGATGATGCTTTGTACTCCTATGAATAGTCTACATAGATCATGATGTAGACTAAGCAGTCTTTTGATCTGTAGACATTGCTTTCTGTTGCGCGTCTCACAAGTTCAAGTGTGACTGTGAGGATGCGTGCTATACGGTCTTGCCACTGTTTTGGTGATGATCTCAAGCCATACATGCCTTTGTTTAGCCGCATTACCAAGTTGTCTGAGATTGCTGCCGCGTGTATAATAGGTTCTGTGTAGCCTTTAGCTACTATGCTCGTACTTCGTTGTGTTTCTGTTTAAGAACCCATCTTGATTCGACGATGTTTGCTTGTTGTTCTGGTGTCATTGCGCTGCCATCGATCTCTGTGAAGACTGATTGGTCTTTAATTTGTTGTACTTCTTTCTTCATGCCTTGCGCTACCTGTTGTGGGTCCAAGCCTTCAGTGTCATGTATGATCGGCTCTAGTAGGATCCTCTCGTTCTTGATTTCTTGTGTGACCTCATTTGATGGTGCCCATTTGTTTACCATCCTTTGTTGTAAACTTGATGGCATTGAGCTTGATTGTTGTAGGCCGCTCGAGTGCTTCTCTCCCCGTTGTGGTTCGCTGTTGCTTGCCTGCGCTGCCTTCTGCTACTGTGCCATCTCTTTCTCTTGCGGGTGATGTAGGCGGTGGTGCTGGCAACGCTGGTCGCTTCTGATGTGTTGGTGATGTAGCCATTGGTGACGTTGGCTCTGTTGTTCTTTTTTGCTTTGTCTGCTGAGCACTCGCTCGTGCTGCGCTCTGTCGCTTTCCTTCTGCTGCTGCGCTTGTTGTTGCCTCCTTTTGTGAAGGCGGCGCCTTGCTTGCAGCTGGCATTGTCAGGTGTCGTGAAAGTCGGTGTAGGCAGTGCTGATGCGGGTGTTCTCTATGAACCTGTGTGTACACAGTCCAGTAGTTGTTGATTGTATTTATGAGGCATAATCTGCCTTCTGATTGTCCTTGCTCTGACAATCTTGTTGTAGACCCCAATAAGGGATTCACCTGCGGTTGTGTCGCGCCAAGCCAGATTCCATTGTACAACCTTGGCTTGAGTCTTGGAAATTTGTTCACTGTTGGTAGCATGTTGCACTGTCTCACCAAACTCGCAAAGCATCTGTTGAAGTAGCTTGTGCATCCATTGCTGTGGACTGCATACCTGCTCATGATGTGTGCACTGTGTCGAACTATCCAAGGCATGAGTGGACGTTTCATTGAAACGTCTCTGTTGCAGTTCTGCTTGATCTGGGCCTTGAGTGTTCTGATTTGTGCAAACAATGCTCGCTCTACTCTCCAGAGTTCCTTGTGGCGACGTTGCCATTCTTGTTGGCCACTGCTGTGATGAGCGCTGTCAGGAAGTCTTCCTGATCCGATTATAGTATGGTGTGTGTTGTCCTTCCACACTCAATAAGTAGGAAGTGCTGTGGCTGTGTAACTGCATAATCGAAGAGCATCCTCTTGTCGGTCAGTTGTAGTGCCATGGATCATCCCAGTGACCTTTTTGTTGTCTCCTGTGGGTTGCTGCGTTGCGCTGTTACTTCATGTAATCCTGAGATGGGTGCTGCTGATGGATCTGCTACCTGTGGTGACGCTAGTTGTTGTCGTAGTGCGCCTGATTGTACTAGTCATCTGTCTGGTCATTGGTGTCAAAGGTTCCAGTGTCGCAGTTGTAGATCGCCACTCTGCATTGTTTGGCCATGTGTCCTGGTTGTCCGTGCTCCTTTCCTCCTTGTTGGTTGCTGTAGTATCCTCTGCCTTGTCCTTTGTTGTTGTATCCTTTTCCTTTGCCGTATCCTTGTTGTCCTTTGAAAGGATTTCCTTGTCCAACCGGTTGTTGATTGTGCTTGCCTTTTCCTCCTTTGTAGTTGTTGTAGCCGTAGTTGTTCCCGTAGCTGTTATATCCTTTGCCCTTGTTGTTCTTTCCTTCGCCCTTGCGCTTTCCTTTCTTTCCTTTGCCTTTGTTGTACCATGTTGCTCCTATGTCAATCGGTGCCGGTGCTTGGTTGTTGTTGTTGCCTGATGTAATCACTTGCAGCCGGGTGAACAATGCTGTTGCTCTGTAGTACTCGATCACCATCGATCGATCTGTGCATATGTTGTGATGTTTCCTGCTTGTAGCTGTAGGTGTTGCTGTAGTGGCCCTTTTCTTTCATTGAGCAGCATTGCAATCTTGACCGCGTCTGGTAGTAGGGTGTTGTCTTGTTCGTATTTGGAGAGTTGGAATTCCCATGTTGTGAAGCTCTCTTCGAACTTCTGTTCATCCAGTTGTGGTTTTAGTAGTTAGCCGTGTAAGGTGCCCAATGCTTCTTGCACCAAGAGGTGTGGAGTACCTTGCATGTGTAAGCCGCCATGTCCCAAAGCCGTTGCCTTGCATGTTTTGTCTGCAGATTGTAGATGCTGGTCCATCGCGTGTGCTCACTAAGATGTAGTGCAAGTTGTTGCTCGGTTGTATCCACTGTTCTGCCATTTGTTGTGAAGGTGCTGCATTTTCAAGTTGGTCGCTCGTAACCTGCTCTGACTGTCTCAGTAGTCTGTTGTATGCGGGGTCTTGTAGTCCTAGGTGTGCTGTCATCTTGTATTTCCATTCTTCGAAGGTGTTGTATTCTCTTGTGAACCGTGGTGGTGATATCTTGTATGTGTGTGGATTCCTTCCAGCTGCTGTTCCTGTTGCTGTTGTGCCGCCATGTTGCTTACTGCTGTGTACCTGAACCTGTGGGTGTGTGTATTGGAGCTCACCCTGGGTTGTGGTCGTGGATCGTGTACCAGGGGTCACTGCTCCACTACCATGTTAAACTCAATGTGACTGTGCGAACCTGTTGATACCTGAAAGTGTAAACCTCTTTTGCATCCTGGGCGAAAGCTAGGCTCAAGGCCTTGTACCAACATGTAACGGTTGTCACATGTATGCAATCTGTACAAGACAGTTGTACATTAACATATATATATGTATATATATTATATTATATACAGAAACCACATTTCGGATTGACAAGATGTCCGGGTGATCCATGCCCAAACCGAAGCCGAGGTAGCCGAGGTAGCCGAGGTAGCTGAGGTGCTCCAGGCCCCTCCATTGCAAGGTGGGGTCCTGAAGGAACCAGGCGTTGGCGGGGTCGCAAACGTACAAGGCGTCCACCTTCAGAAAGGCGTCTCGCAAGGCCCGCACCTCAGCCTGGCCCTGTGCCACAGGCGCGCCCTGGGCCGAGAAGGTGATCACCAGGATCTCCTGCACCTTCTCCGCCATGAGGTCCCAATGGATCTCCGTGGTGGTCAACGCCTCCGTGAGCAACTCCTGAAAACAAGTCGGGAAGAAAAATGGCCCGGTCATGGAACAGAAAAGGACAGACTCTTGGTGGATTTCTTTTCTGTGCTCAGTCCTGGGTGAGGCCGGGATTCCAGGCGAGGCCGAAGCTGGCACGGAGGTGCTGCAGGTCCAGGTCATGCAACGGCAGGCGGTTGCAGCCCAGGCCCACCACCTTGAGCCGCGGCAGGTTGGCCAAGTCCCGAAAGAGGCCCACGTCGGAGAGCAGATTGCCATGGGCGAAGAGCCAATTCAGCTTCTGCAGCTTCGACAACGACGGCAGAGACTGCAGGCGGTTGTGGTGCAGCTCCAAGATCGCCAGGTTTCGGTTCTCATCCAGGCTGGGCAACGACTCCAAGAGGTTCCCGTGCAGCCAGAGCTGCTGCAGGCCCTTCAGCTTGCTCAAGTCCGGCAGTTGCTGCAGTCGATTGCCTGCCAGGCTCAGATCCCTCAGCACGTGCAGCTCGAAGATGTTCTCAGAGATGCAGGAAATCTGGTTGTGCGCGAGATCTAAGAGCCGCAAGCTGGAGTTCAGCAGTGGTATTGCTTGCAGTCCATTGTTGGCCCAGAAAAGGCTGTTCAGGTTCGGGCACTGCAGCCCTGGCAAGGACTCGTGTCCACAGTTCCGGCCCCTCAGCACTGACAGGATGGGAAGGACCAAAGCGGAAGTCAGACTGCCGGAGCCGCTGGAGCCGCTGGAGCCAGTTAAGCCCGGCTGCTGCTCATCAAGGCCCAGTTGCTGTAGCTTCCGCAGCTGGGCGAGTGCAGGCAGCCGCGCGAAGCGGTTGCGTTCCAGGCACAGCACCTGCAGCTTTGGCCAGCTCACCTCCGGCAAGTCCCTCAGGGCATTGCAAGTGAGCCAAAGCTCACGGAGGCTTCCAAGCTGGCCCAAGCTGTCTGGCACCACAGAAATCAAGTTCCTGCGCAGCTTCAACACTTCCAAGCGCTTCAGCATGCCGAGGCAACTGACCGACTCCAGCTGCTGGCCGTCAAGATTCAAGAAGGTGAGCTGCTGAAATCCTTTGCCCAAATCCAGTACAGCACCCGAAAAACCAATGGTGGCCCAACCTGCGCCGGATACCCATGTGATGGCCAGCATAAAGCGCCGGCGCTGTTGTGCAAAGGCAGCTGACCAGTCACCCTCGAAGTCCAGAATTATTTCCCTGGCTTCTTCACTCTCCCCTTCCTCCAGCTCCTCCCCATTTTCCCCCTCCACCAGCTTGTCCGACATCGGCTTCGCGTTTGCCTCGAGGGCCAGTCGGGCCAGGGCCACTGCAGAGTCCACGTGATCAGCTCCGCGGGCCGCGCAGCTGGCCGCCCACAGCGACCGCCCGTGGGTGCCGCACGCCGCCAGCAGCGCTAGCGCCGTGAGCCCCGCGTGGCCGCCGGCCGCGAGGCGCGCGTTCTGCCGGGCTGCCTGCAGGTTGCCACGCGCGAAGGCGTCCCGAGCCAGGCTTAGGTAGTAGGACCTCCGCGCCTCAACATCCTCCAGCAGTGACTCCAAGCCTGTCTCTGCGCCCTCCGCACCCGTCCCACTTTTTCCATGAAGAAAGGTGGCCACCTCAAGCACCGTGGGCTGCTCATAGAAAATGCTCAAAGGAAGCACTTGGCCCGAGGAGTCACAAAGCGCGGAGTGCAGCGACATGGAAGTCATGGAGTCCATGCCAAGTTCCACGAAGCTGTCGGCCAGCTGTGCCTCCCGGCTCAGGACCTTCCTCACCGCCGCCTGCACCACTTCCACACACCCGGGCAGAGAGGTGACCGTGAGGCTGGACCTGGCCTTGCCACCCGTAAGCGGCAGCAGGCGCGGGTGTGCGGCATCCAGACCCACAGCCACCACAGACGTCAAGCCGAGCACAGCCTCCAGCGCCAAGACCCCCAGCCGCGGCGACAGCACGTGCAGCCCGGCGCCGGGCGCTGCCTGGGCCAGTGCTGGGAACCGCTGCGTGATGCCCACCCCATCCCAAGCGGACAGCGCCGCACACCGCACTTCCAGGCGTCCCGATGCGTGCTGGGCACACAGCGCTTCCACGGCCCGCGCCCCAGCCGCGTACTCGCCCAGCCGAGGTGCCCCCATCACGCTCACTGCCGTAGAGGTGAACAGCACTGGGAGCTTGCGGCGTTGGGTCTGACGGGATGCAAGCAATAAGAAATGCACGGGTGAGAGGGGGGGTGGGGTTTTCTAGAGTTTCCGATGTAAAGTTGAAATTGGTCGCTCGAGAATAGCTACTTCATACACCTGGGCTATCAAGAATACTCATGAATATGTTGTATGGAAACTTGTTGAGAGTCATATCGCGCATTAAAAGAGAATGGCATTGACAACTTGGATGCGCTAGGGGCGCAATGATGTGCAGTTCAACTTCAAAGGGTGCCAAAACCCGAATTCTTCATATTCTGCAGGTTGAATTCCTTGCATATACTGGGTTTTTGGCAAGACCTAGGCCTGCAGCTCAGTCAAGATCTCGATGAAGTTCTGCGCAGCACGCAATTTGGCTTTGGGCCCTTCCAAGGTTTGCAGCTCCAGCACGGGCCGTGGGGCCGGGAAGGACTCGCAAAGGTTGGCCGCCAGGTCCAGTGCCGGAAGGTCCGGCAAGTCGCGCAGCGCTGCCCGCAGGTGTTCCTTGTTTCCCACGTCCACCTGCAGGTAGCGCACCGCCGCAGTGCCAGCTTCAAGCAGCTGCAGCGCATGCTTACGGCTGGCAGGGGCGCGCCCCAGCAAAATCAGCGAGTCCGCATTCAGGTGGGAGGCCCAAAGAGTACCCACGCCGCCAGCACCGCCCGCCAGCAACGCGGCCCGCAGCCTTTCGGGGGAAGCCTTCTTGGAAAGCTTCACGCTCTTGAGACGGCGCAGCAGGCGATGGCCCTCGTCCACGAGGACCTCTGGGTGGTCGTCCAGGTCCCCGAAGTCCGACAGCTCCTGCAGCACCGCTTCCGGCAAGCTCGAAGCGCCCACGTCCAGCTGCCGCGCCCGGAGCCACGGCAGCTCAGCCAACGCGCACAGCAGCACCCCCGACAGGAAGTGCTTCCGAGGGTCCTTGGCCGGGCCTACACGTGGGTGCCGGCCCACAGAGACACACAAAATCCTCAGCAGAGGGATCTTGGTGTCGTTGTGCCTCCTCTCCCAGCTTCGCAGCAAGCCGATGAAGCAACTCACTGCACTTCCCTCACTATCGTCCCCACACTGCAAAAGGTTCACCACCACCACCTCGCCGTCTAGTGTCTCCAATACCTCTGCAGCTCCCTCACAACAACTCTCGATGATGGTCGCGCCACCGGCCCTCAGTGCAGGCGCAACTGTCAAAGTGGAAGCAGCTTGAACCAACAGGTATGTCTTAGAGCTGCTGGCCGGAACTTCCACTCCCTCCATACGTTCTTCCAGAGCATCTTCATCTTCCTGTACGGCAGATGCTTTGAAGTCCTCTTCCAGAATCCAATCATCAGGCAGGGACTGGCTTGAGTAGGGCTCCAATTCGCGCAGTGGCCCACGCAGTGGGGCACCATCTGGGGCTCGAGGCGTCTTGCAAGCCGCCAGTGGATTGAATCGCGCATGGATCCCCAGGGACAGCGCCAAGTGGCTCTTCAGCGCTTGCACAGATTTCTCTGCACAGCAGGCAGCTGCATTCGAAGGCACAAAGAAAACGACAAGCCCAGCCATGTCCATTGCCACTGCAGATCCTGGCAGCACTTCCGGGGCCAGCTCCACAGCAGCCTCGATCTCATCTGAGGTGTATGTGACCCCCGAGACATGCACCAACTCCGGCTGCTTCTGCTCCAGCGGCACCCATCCCTTTGACACGGAGGCTGAGGCGGCCGGCAAGGCCACCAGGCCTCTCACGTGAGAGGGGTGATTGTGATTACCGGGGTGAGAGTGATTACCTGGCTGCCCGCACCCGTACCTCATCTCCAGCCCTGGCAGCGGGCAGCCGTCCTGGGCCAGCACAGTGCCCCAGGGTGCCACCAGCACCTGGTACGTGGGGGCTCGCACCAGCGACCGAAACTCCTCCCAGGCCGCGCCCGCCTCCCCAAGGAGCCATGTAGCGAAGCTGCCTGCGAGCCCGGCGCCGGCGCCGCTCCGCACGAGGCCCAAGGCCCGGCGGAAGAAGATCAGCGGGGCCGCCAGCAGATCGCAGCGCGTGGCGCGCAGCAGAGGCAAAAGCCGCCGAGGCTCGCTGCCGTCGCAATGGACTTCGCTCGCACCGCAAAGCACAGCCGCGCAGTGGGAAAGAATCACAAAGGCAGAAGTCACAGGCATCCAACTGAGCCGTCTGGTGGATGTGGAAGCGAGCCCATTGATTGCAAGTGCATTTGCCAGGACTGCCTCATGCGAATAGCTGTACAAATGTCCGCTGCATATCACGTGGAAGGCATGACTAGATAGACTGGACTGGCTCGCAAACACGGACTGGTGCATGGGCTGCGTGAGTGTGGCTGACTGCCCAGTACTTTGAAGCAGGGACAAGTCCACTTTACAAGGATGCTTGAACGAAGCGCTGTCAGACAGTATCGACGGCCGCCCCAGTTGCTCCCATGCTCGTAGAAGATCGCCTTGCACAAGGCAGGGGCGCAAGCCAGCAATCAAACAGCCCCAAAAGCTCAGGATGGTTTGGCGTCTGCTCAGGTCCGGATCCAGAATAACGCAACGGTCAGGCAAACGGCGGAGGCCGGTGGCCAAGTGCTGCGCACAAGTCTGTAAGTGCAAGTAGCTCACAAACACGAGGCTCTCTGCCTGCAAAGGTTCACTACAAATTGTGTGGCTTTCATTTTGGAAATACTCAATTCCGAGTCAAGCCGAATCTATCTGTCCTCATGGAAGCTGAATCCAGAGCTGTGCTCAGCAGTAAGGAAGTCCGGGAGAAGCTTGTGCTGGGTCTTCAGTTTTCCACCGGACGCATAGCAGGGCCTGAGAAAAGTCGGGTGCATGCAACAGCGGCACAGCATGCTTCACACCAATTCTGCGGGCAGGGCATGTGGAGCTTCAGCGTCTGGTTGCCATCTACAGGGAAGGATGCACCGCTCAGCAGCCTGACCCTGCTACAATTTGGGACACTCAACGCCGAGGTGCCCACGCCTGAGCAAGATGGGAGAGCTTTCAGCTAGCTCAAGCCGAGGCGCGACAACTGCAATTCATGTGCCACGCTCTCCAAGCAGATGCCAAAAACAGAAGTGCGAACGGATACATTTCTCAGGGAACGCTCTGTAGCGATCACCAAGAAGCAAGGGCCGTGCAAAGGAAAAACGTCACCCTTGCTTGCAAAGGATGCAGCTCACGCCGATCATAGGATGGGTTGCTGTACTTGTCATTTTGACAATCTCAGCAACATGTACATTGAGGCAACAATATGCGTTGACATGGGACTTTGGTGAGAACCCCCTTTCCAAATCATTTGTTAATAAGTGTGCCCCTCGTCACCTCTTTTCCTACTGTAGATTACAGTAAACATTGACCATTGCTGACTAAATGGGCGGTGAAACAAGCGAGGCGGATGTCAAGCACCATCTTGTTCATGAAGCCGAGAAGCCCAATGTGTCTGAGAGCTCTTCCAGAGGTGTGTCGTTGAGCTGAGCAACGAACTTACGAGCATGAGCAGCAATCAAGGCAGCTGCGTCTTTGTGATCCTCCGTGGCCATGATGAGCTTATCCGGGCTCAAGCATACAAGAGTTGCGGTCGACAAAGAAGCTGCCTTGCCCACGTATGCCCAAGCTGTCCACAAGCAAGGCTCGCAAATCCAATGGCCGGCGTGTAAAACATGCGACTCTGCCGGCACCTCGTTCGTTGGCAATACTGATTGCAAGGCAATTGAACCCCGCATACTTCCATGAATCACAGCTGCTTCGTCCATCCTTGTGTACTTTATGTCACCATGCACCATCAATAGCATTCTTTCGCACAAAGGCCCAGCTGAGAACAGGATTTCCTGTGGTACGACATGCCAATCTTGCAGCTCTTTGCACAACGCGTACTGCACAGCTGGGTGCTTGGAGCAGAGTGTTCGGAAAAATGAATGTTGCTTCAGGACGGGGCTCAAGGCTTCGTGGCAAAGTTCTTTGAAGAGATACTCAGGAAGAACATTCTCTATGACAACTTTGCTGGGCTGCTGGACTTTTGGAGCTCTTTGCAAATACTGTTTCAAGTGCTCTTCAAGCTCAGGCGAAACTGGGAAAATGCGAAGATAGTCACGTACATGGTAGTCTGCTTCTTTCCGCTCCCGGTGTGCTCTACGGATATCTGAGATGTCATTTGTGATCATGGACGTGAATATTGACCCAAAGAGGATCATGAGGCCAGTGCCCAGCAAGGCAACAAAGCGTTCAGATCTCCTGGCGAGCTTCATATTCTCCGGCAGGTGTGAGGGTGGAAGTCGGCCAATGGCCCACTCAAAGCTCAACAAATACTGTTGTTGCCAGGACTTGTCAGTGATGTCGAGCTCATCCACCCACGAATCCTCTCCTCCCACACCAGCAGCAAACCACATGCATGTGATCAGATGGATCAGAAGGACCCCGATGAGCATAATGGAGGCAATGTTCCAGAAGGCCCGGAATTCACGGCTCCGATGGCGGAGCCACTCTCTGACCATGTGGGACATACCTGTGATCTTGTACCAGTGCGAGGCTTGCAAGAGCCGGAAAAGCTGAAGAACTCTCAGAATTGATTGGAGAGGATGCGGCTGCCCGTGATTCAGAAGGTCAACAAAGGTTGGAGCAATTAGGACCAGCTCAACCAGCGTTTGCGCTAGGAACAGTGGCCAAACTGTCGCCTTGGAGCGGGCCAGCCAGCACGAGACCGGCAGGTTGAGGGTCCAGAAAATGGCGGCAAGGATGTCAAAAGACCAGAACGTCATGTCAGTGCCAAAGGGCATCAGCGGCACAGAAAAGCAGTCCTTCGCAATCAGCGCCACTGCCAGGCCAGCCCAGACCCGGCGAAAACGATTCACTCCAGGCCAGTTGACTGGCGTCTCGGACTGCAACTGCAGCCGCCCAGAGTTCGTGGTGGAGTAGACCGGACTATCGGGGAAGACTTCCCAGCCAGCGCGCAGCTCAAAACGGCCGACCTCACGAAACGGCTGCTTTGAGAACGGATCAAGCAAATCGACACAGGCATCACAAAAAAAACAAAAACAAAAAAACTAGACCCCGATTAATTGACCTGGCTCTACTGAACCAAAGTCACCTTGGACCAGCACCTCCACCAGCGACTGAAACAGCATCACCCCTAGCACTCTGCCTTAAATGAAAAATGCCTTTTAGGCGTCTCCAAGCCAAAAGCGTGCGATCAAGCCACCTTTGAAGCTCGTGAGAAATGGCTGGGATGCCTCTTGGACATCCTCCCAGGTGCGTTGAAAGCCGACAGCGTCGAGGTTTTCCGCCTTGGCAGTGCATCCTCGGGCTCTGGCACGTGCCGTGCTTCCGTGGTCGGGTCTGGCTGTGCCGCTGCGGGGACTGGCAAGTCCGGGGAAGAGACGGGCAGGACGACCTGCAAGGACAGCGGCGGCACGATGGGACAGGATGAGGACGGCGAGGCGATGGGCGGCGGCGAATTCAGTCCGACTAGTACTGGTCCGGCTGAAGCCTTCGCGTCCACCAGCCCTTGGATCAAAGCTCGAATTTGCAAGATCACGTCGTCCAAGGTTTGCCCGGCGTCGAACGCCACTTTGGCAATAGGACTGTTGGCCGAAGGAGTATCTTCCTGCTCGGCGAAAACACTGGCCGGCATGTTGGCTTGAGCCAAGCCGCTATGCTGCAGATCCGAGCTTGGATCCGTAGAGTGTTGCATGCACAGCCGCAGGCAGCAGTGATCATTGGGTGTTGCGAATTTTGCATCACAAAAGATCTAATGACCTGTCGACCACGTGCGTTTTTCCTTGCAAGCTGCTTCAGGGCATTGTGCTTATCGCGAATTGCAACCTCAGATGGGGTGCCAAGACAATCCAGGTATATCCCGGCATCAACGGATCCCAGACTTCCGGTCCCTGAGCAGAAATTGCGCTTGGGTTGGCGCCACAAACTCGTGGTCTGCCCCAAAGAGGGCTTCCAATGCCTTCGTAGCCGTGTCGTAAATGGGCCCCACTTGCTGGGCTCTGTCCCGCGCATCCTGGGAAAGGCCTCGATGCGCACATCGATGCTCGTGTAACTCGTGTAACTCGTCATGTCGGCCCGCCTTGAGGGCCCTCCAAGGTGTCGGGACCCACCAGAAAGCCAGCCAGGCGCAGTTCCAGGTCTCCCTCGCTTCACAGAAGAAGCATCACATCTTTCGCTCAAGCACGTGGCCTGAGTCTCCAGGGACCATGCGTGTAGAGCACTGAAGCCCGGGTACACCTCTCCATGAGCCAGGTGCAACGTGTGCAAGTTGAAGCAACACGTTGAAGCAACGTGTAAGGCGACGTGAGGGACGTCCGTCCTCTGCTGCGAAGTCCACGCAGCGCTTGGCCAAGATCAACGCCTCCGCCGCCTCGCCGGCAGCCTCGTAGTAGGCCAACAAGTGCCTTAAGGCAAAGTCGACTTCTCACATCAGCCTGTTTTACACCGTTGCCATGAGTCCGAGCGAAGGAAAAGCGCTGACAATTTGAGATCAAGGAGAAAAAACAAGAAGGGAAGAACCCAACCAAAAAAAGGTCGCCTCTCTGGGCTGCATCAACCGAAGCTGCCACGAGCGGCGTGGCAAACAAGCCCAGCGGAGGTGATTGCTTTAGCTCAACATGGAATCCATATGAATCCATGACATCGCTATACATCGCTTTCGTGACGCCTCGCAACGCGGTCACGAAGCCAGTGCTTCTTGGAGAAGAGCTGCGCCATGTTGGATTCCAAGCGCTTGGCATTGTCCTGCACACCGCGCCGTGTTCGTCTGTCCGAGTCTGTCCGTTCTGCGCAGGGGGTCCTCATTGAGGAAGGCACCAGCGCCATCTTTACGGTCCCATTCCTGCACATACCTCAGTGACGCACAAACCTCTTGCCTGTTTCTCTTCAAATCTCTTCCCCTGGTCCAACCCTTTTCAGACGGACTTCTCGGGCGGGCAGCTCCTCCACTCGCATCTCCTGCGCCGCCAGCTGCTGTGCCTGGCTAGGCGTGGCCATGAATCCACAGCGCCGGCAGGCGCCCAAGGCCGCAGGCCTGGGGAGACCGGAACCGACTGGGAGAAGGGGAGAAGCAAGAAGCAAGATGAAGCAAAATCTCCCAAAGTTCAACGAGTTCAGCCTGGCGCCCTCCTCGAAGAAAATCTCCCCTTCACCGCAGCCTGACCGGAAAGCCGCAAGCTTGTAGATATTCGGGGTAATCCCTAGGCCTAGGCAGCGGAACCCACGCACGGGGTCCAAGGTCATGGAACAGGTACGGCAGTTGCAAAGGAAATGCTTCGTGGCCTGAAAGCAAATCTGCCAACATGCAAATGATATGTATGTGGAGATGTCTACGCCTCAAGCTGACTTCTGCGGCTGGCAATGGACTCCAGCAATGACTCCTCAGCCAAGTAGGACCTCGGACATCGGAATCGAATGCACCAGGTCACCATGCGCTGGGAAGAAACGGTGCTGATTGCTGATTCGGTCCAGCTGCACTGTGATCTCCTCCCCTGCTGTGATATCGCGCCTGCGTTGCGGCATGGCTGCAAAGCTGGCGGCAAACGGGCCCCAAGCCTTGCCTGGCGCGCATGATGAACGAGTCGCCCTCGTAGTGCCACATGCAGTTGGGTCGGCAGTCGTGAGACACAAAGGCCGGCAGGAAGAACGTGCTGAAACCCACAGGCTCCTGTCTGACAGGTGCCGACTGGGTGGGTTTGAAGGTGTCAATGTCTGCCTCGCTGTGCTCGAAGCAGTTCAGCAGCCACCTTGCCACATGCACTTTGCCCGAGCCTTGCATTAATGGAAATTTGGCCCGCACACCGCCAGGAGCCGCTCCAGTTTCAGTGCCAGCTGTCCACCTGGAAAGAACTCCTCGACAATGGCCAAGGAGTCCTCAAGGCAGATCGGAACCAGAACGGAAAGCCGAAGCCGCAGCCGAAGCCAAAGACGAAGCCGAAGCCGATGCACCTCGGAAGGAGCCTGCGGCTCTGGGTGGAAAAGCATCAGGAGCCGCTGCTGCTGCTCAGGTGTGATGTGCTGCAACTTTGTGTTGCACCCCTGGCAGTCTTCTCCTGACGCGCTCGCTCTCTCTCTCTCTGTCTTGGATGCTTCTCTGTGTTGCCGTTGCTTCCCTTTAATGGCTTGGCACGCGTTACCCTTTCCTCCCCTTTCGGGCCACATTTCGGGCCACAGCTGACAGCTTACCCAGTCCTGAGAGGGAGGACAAGGCGGCCCAGTACCACAGCGGCGCGTGCACAAAGCCGCGGCGCTTCGCCAGCCGCTTCAGGCGGACGAAGCCGGGATCCTGGACGTGTCGAAGCTGTCGATTTCTATGAGCTAGGTCCTTAGGTCCTTAGGTCCTCAGGTCCTTAGGTCTGTCCTTGGGAGCTTCTGCCACCAGGTGCAGTGGGGCTTCAGAGAAGAGCCTCCGAGACCAAAACGATCTAAGGGGTTGCAGATGTTTGCTCAGAACGGGCTTGCTGATTTGGACGGTACAAGATCCACAATGCGAATGAACGAATGCCCCGGGCCCGGTTGGCACCTATCGCCACACGAGAAGTTCCAGCAGGCCAGGAGGACGCGACCCTTGTGCGGGTCCACGTCGCAGCGAAGGCTCCCATCCACCGTGTCATCACCTCAGATTCGATGCCTGCAGCCAGCTCTAAGACTCTAAGCATCCAAAGGGAAACTCGGTATGCAGAAGAATACTCTGGGTATCTTGACATATCTTGACTATGCCAGCCATGCGGCAGTAGGAGTTGATGTACTGCACCGTCTCTGCCATGCCATTGATGCACGAAGCTCCCTGATACTCAGAGCCTCGTTACTTCAACAGCTCTTGGGGAGGCTCTTGGTTCGCTGACTCCTTGAGCTTCGAGGACTTGAGCAGACACTCCAAGCACCCGTAGCATCTGCTTAGGCGCATCTGTAGGCAAGTCGCCTCTTTGAACCGAAGCATCCGCTTTTGCCAGGCTTCCTTCCAGAAGGCTTGACATGGAGCCAATGCGAGATACAATCTCGCAGTGATCGGTGCATTCCTTGGCCTTTGATATCTGATGGCAGTAAGTCAGAATGAGCAAAATAACAACCTGCCACTCAATTCAAAGGCCACCTAGCAGCACATTCCTCTTCGAGGAATGCAATTGATGCGTCGCGCACCTATTGACCAAATGTTACCATGTCACTTTGTGCACGGGATGAACTACATGTCTCTCCTGAGTGCGGGCCACGGGCCAAATAAGCCAGGAGCCGTCCCACAACAAAACTAGTGTCTGTCTTAGCTCAGAGCAGACTTGGGTGGTCCGGGATGTTCTCTGTATAGCTGACACAGCACATGCCGTCACTCAAAGCTCGGCGCTTGTGCACTGGCAAGTCACGGGCCTGCCTGCATGAATGAGGCCAGGAAGCTGCGCAAACCTAACGGGGGACCCGCCAAAAAGCATGGCGAAGGCTTAAGACAAGGCAGCGACTTATCCTCGCAAAACATCATGAACTCCACCTGCCAGTATTGCCAGTATGGCATAGCGCCCGGGCCATGGAACAAAAAAGAACACTCTTGCCTGCTGCTTTGCTATCCTAAGCGAACGATGTGCCCTGAGTTGTCTTCACAAGGTGTGGGATAGTCACTAAGCAGGTCGCCAGGCATGCGAGTGCATCAGCTTGGCCAAGTCTAGCGCTGTAGCATTGCCCCTGACCCACAGTTTCTGGGCACTCCAGTGATCAAGCAGATCAAGATCCGGACCGTAGCCGCATGCACCCAAAGATGAACTCCTCAATGTCCTTGGTGTGTAACCGTGTGGTAGCAGACCCCCTTCCAACGGCAAGAGCAGCTCGAGTCGATCGAGCCAAGTCGCAATCTCTTGGCCGCTGTCGCAATCTAGCAGTCTGAAGAACGTCCAAACCTTCGCACAAATCTGATATTCCGAATCAACATGCACGGTTTCTGTTCATGAGAGCAAGGCATCATCGATGTTCAGCTCCAAGGCTTCGAAGTAAGTCTTCACTTTTACATCCTCGTCAGTCCAAAACCACCCAGAGCAAGTGACGCACGATCTGGCCTCCATTCGTTCTTCCAGTTCATTGATTGTGATGTAGCCTTTGCGCTTGACGCACCCCGGCGCCAGAAACCGAAACAAATTTGCCTGTGTCATCCAAGTCCAGCATCTGGAAAAGGAGCCGGAATTTTCCTCAGTGGCATTTCAAAGTTGACAAGGCGGTGGCTGCGCACGTTTGCGGATAAGATGCGCATGTGTGCATCTTTGTCCTGCACGACATTTTGCATTACCTCGGGACTAAGCCAAGAAAACCATCCAATGTTTCAAGGTCGGGGCAAAACACATGGGCTAACTCGTGCAGTTGAAAATGGCACATGGTTCACACTTGCAAGGCATGGCCATGTGTGACCTTGCTCACCATGCCACGAAAACAGCTTGCTGCCAAAATGCCATGTCGTGGTCACGGGCAGCACCTGAGAACCCGCTGGCGTCGAAACAAAAAGCTGTTGCACTGCATGCAGTCAGCCAAGCAGCTTTCAATAGCAGACTGGCAAAAAACACCGGTCATGACCTGGGCGGATGTTTTTTGCCCAGAGCAGCGGCACAGTGGACAGCGTCAGGCTTTGATATCCCCCAGGCCCCGCGCTCAAGCCCGGTGTTGGCATTTACACGGGGCAAGCAGTTTAGTCTTAGCCCATATAGCCACAAACCACAGTGACAAGCTTCTCCACAATTTGTCCCTGCAACGCACCCACTAATTTGCAAATGCGACTGTCTAACTATCGGTTCGGCTGCTCACCATATACCACGGCGAACTGAGCTCCCTGCGTTTAAAACCGCGAACATCACAAAAGCCATGTACAGAAAAAAGACGACCTGCCCACAAACTAGCAGCCCTTGCGACAAGAGTCCTGTCTGCGGGGCCGCGACATGGGTGTGGGTGGCGTGGAACTTTCCGCCGTGACCCAGGCGTCTCTAGAAGAGCTAGTTACGTGCAAAGTAAAGCAAGCCAAGAGGAAGAGCTAGTGCTGAAAGCAATAAGTAAACTAGGAATGGAGCAAGGATGGGACGCAAGGCAGAACGAGCAATAGAAGGGAAAAGGACAAGCAAACGTAGGAAGCGGAGGAGCAGAACACCGGAGAAAGAACAGGAGGCAGGAAAGCGGCAACAAACGACAAGCTACGCTGCATAAAGAAGCGCACAGTGACAGCCACAGTTCCGGGGGCTTCGTTTTGGTATCGTTTGTGGGTATTGTTTTTGAGCGCTAGCACGCTGCTTGCTACACCTGCGGCGTGCCCGGGCGAGAGAATGAGCAGCAGCACCGGAAAAACAGAAACAACCGACATTTAACGCTACAAGACAAGACGGGTGGACTAGCCCCCGCGCAAGGCGACAGCTGCAATTGTGTGGGTTTCGTTTTGGCATCGTTTCGGCCATCGTTTGGAGCTCTGGCACACTGCGACAACAGCATGAGCAATAGGAACGGAGCTTGGAGAAGGGGAACGGAAGCAGCAAAGAGCAAGGAACGACAGGTGGCCAGGCCTCCCGCAAGGCGACCGGCGCAACTCCGGGGGCTTAGTTTCAGTCTTGTTTTGGGCGTTGCGCGTGAGCGCAGGCACTCTGCAACACACCCGAAGCACAAGCGCGCTCGTTTCTGCCTGGCGTGTTGGAGCAAGGAGCAGCATAGTTGGACCAGCAGAAAGTAGTCTTTTTCGCGCTTTTCTACTAACTCTGCTGCGCGAATGAAGAGGACTGCCGAATATGATGACAGAACGCTTTTCGAAATCCGAAACGTGAGAAGCAAGAACAAATTCCGGACTGCGAATTTTGTTTTCCGCGCTTTTCTGCAAACTCTGCCGCGGCAATCGATGCCAGAGCGCTTTTCGTGGTCCGAAAGCGCGAAAAAAAGATTTTCGGAAAGCGAATTTCGTTTTCGCGCTTGTCTACAAGCTCTGCCCCGAGAAGCATGTCCAGAGCAGACTGGGAGTTTTCGATTTTGGAACTGGGTGTTTTGCTAGCTGTTGCTTCTGTACTGGTTTTGTGCCTTGCCGCTGCGCAGTCCTTGGCGCGATAGTAGTACGTGCCTTCCCATTGTCACTAGCAGCTCTTGGATAACAATATCCCCTACTGTCAGCTGCGTGACACGCCTCTTTGCCACTACTGCAAGAAACAAATTTCAGAAATGTGTTTGGCGCCGTGCTGACCAGCAGGGGAAAGGACGCCTTGCAGAAATCTCCCACTGTACTAGTGGCAGCTAAGCGTGCGGTAGGACGCTTGTTTCTGCGCGAGATACTGTTGTCCAAGAGCTACTAATGACAATGGGAAGGCACGTGTTCCGCTACAACTACTATCGCGTCAAGGACTGCTCAGCGGCAAGGCACAAAACAGGTACAGAAGCACACGCAGTCTATTCTGGACAGGTTTCAATTATGATGCCAGAACGTTTTTCGAGGTCCGAAACGCGCGGGAAAAAACGCATTTCGGACCGCGCAATTTGGTTTCTTCGCGCTTTTCTACAACCTCTGCCGCGGGAATCAAGGACTGCCGGGCAGGAAGGAGGTTTGAGCGCCGGGGTATGATTCGCCGGGGTATGATTCGGGGGTATGATTTGCAGTAGCAGCAATAGTGGCAGCAGTAGCAGTGCAGTCGCAGTATTGGCAGTGGCAGTAGCAGTAGCAGCAGTCGCGGTAGCAGAGCAGTGGCAGTAGAAACAATAGCAGTAGTAGTAGTAGTAGCACCAGTAGTCGTACTTTGTAAAGGTTTGCTAGTTGCAAAACAAAACTGGGCACAAACTGAGAATGATGTATGTAGTAGTAGCTGTAGTTGTAGTAGCAGTCTGAGTAGTAGTACTAGTCGGAATAGTAGTAGTAGGAGAAGTAGTAGTAGCAGTAGTCGTAGTAGTGAGTATTAGTAGTAGTAGCAGCAGCAGCAGTAGTAGTAGCAGTAGTAGTAGTAGCAGGTAGGGCTGGCGGTGATTGTTGCGGAGACAGTGAGCAACACAAACGGTAGAAGAAAGTAGCATCTTGCAGCATATGCTTTGAACCGGTATGATTTGGGGGTATGATTTGGGGATATGATTCGGGGGTATGATTCGGTGTGTGATTCGGGGGTACGATTTGGGGATATTGTTTCGCCAAGGTCCCACCTCCTGCCTTTTGAAGCAGCCCAACAAAATTTATGTGTGTATTGTACGCTTGTATGTTTGTATGTCGTTACATGACATCACAGTACGTTACGCACATGCGTACATACATTACATGCACTACATACACTACATACCTTACGTACGCTACATACATGACATACATTACACGCCTTGCGTACGCTACATACATTACATACATTACATGCGTTACATACATTACACACTACGTACATTATTTGATCGCTTACTTGCTGGCTTACTTGCTTGCTTTCTTACTTGCGTACTTACTTGCTTACATACATTGCGCACAGAGACAGAACACACACACACACACACAACTACGTTACGTTTCATTGCGGTGCGTCACATTACATCGCATTACAGTACATTGTTGCGTTACAGTAATTACATTGCAGCACATCGCAGCACTGCGCATCACACCACATACATGATACGGCCGGTCATCATATGAGCAGTGTTTTTGGGGTTGCGTGGGCCCTTATCATTTTTAACTTGCCTTCGCGGCGCCGACGCCTACCCGAGACTGAGCCACCTACGCCGCCCACGCGACAACGAGGAGCTCAACGCGCTTTTTACGCCCGGCTATGGAGAGGTTCGCTGCGATCGCGCTCGGACGGGAGCACGGTGGAAGGTCGCGAAGAAGACGAGCTTGAAGTCGGCTGCGGCAAGCTGAAGTGGAGGGATGGGGTGAAATGGAGGGTGCCACAAAGGGCCTGCGGTCAGATTGTAGACGAGATGCGCTGCCATGCTGCAAACAGCTGGTCAAAAGCAGCTACCCACAGCTTGCGCCAAACTGCCACTCACAAACGGTCACACACACACACACATGTCTTGCATAACAATGCTCAACATTCAAGCTCATAAGCGGCCGCCTACCTGACTGCCTACGCGAAGCTTCGCAACACGAGTGTTCGCGAAGTGCCTCCGCACGCCTACGTTGTGGCCCGTCAGCCAAACGCCTACGCGACATGTAATGTAACCAATGTCGACGTGAAGATGTGGGCCTTCATTCCAATAAAACACCGCTCATGTGTATTTTGAAACGCAAATCATTTTTGGAGACATGCATCAAACTAACGAAACACAAACATCGAATGTTGCAATTCACTTTTGAGCAGGATAAACTCCCAAACTTGCGGTCTGTGGAACAAGAGATTCGTACACGTGGATGCTTGGTGTCCAGAGGGAAAGGAAAAAGGAAAACAAAGTGCGGTTTTGGGCAAACACGAAGTAGCCCAGGGAAGCAAATGAGCACAAAGAAGATCACAATGTGCCCAAAGCACCCGGAAACACAGCTGTGGATGATGACCGGGTTGAGGATGTGACGGTTGGCAAAGAGAAGTTTGGGGAAGTTGGGAATCAAGTTGAAGAAGTATAAGTACTCAACCAAGCCCAGCAAACCCTGCCGCACCACCGGATACCTCCCACAACCAGCTACCCCCAGCACCGAGACCTTTTCCCGATGATGTGGGCGGCTGCCGTTGTATGGCGTCCGCACGTGGTGCCAGAGTTAAACTGACGGGGGGGTTGAAAACTTGAGCCAAACGGCCATTCGGCCGGTTTGCCTTATGAAGGAACAACACGTGAACAAAACACCCCCCCCTCATCCGATGTCTGGACGAGAGAAAGGATGCAAGACAGTTGAGTTCACGACGAAAGGAACCAACCAAAATGCCAGCGTCAACTCAGAGGTGAGCCAAACGGCATCACCTGGGCCAGTTAACATCCCGCCACCACCCCGAATTATTGGGGCGACAGGACTGTTTGACGAATGGGCCACATGAGTGGACAAGGACCTCCTCGCCGGTGAAAGGGTCCTTCTGCGTGTAGAACCCCTTTGTCCTGCCCCTCCTAGTCCCTTCTTCCGCAGCTTCTCGCGGGGACCGGGGATGAGCGAGCAGGCTGGGCCATGCGGTTAGAGCTCGGCTGCCCACCAGGCGGGATGTGAACGCCCCCCTGCCCTTTTTCGGGTGCGGGGACTTGACCACGAGATGTCCTTCTGGCCTTTTTTTGATCGGCATGCTCGGACTCCGCATCAGGGACACGAGTGTTGACCACCACGTCATCCTCCGCAAATGGGTCCCCAGTCATCGTGACGTCGGTTGCGATAGGAACGGGGGGAGGAGGAGGTATGGGCGTAGCTTCGCCAGGGCCGATGCTCGTGTGGAGCACCACGGAGGTCTCCGGTTCTAGGCAAAATCAGCTGTTAGGGCATTGTGCTCGGTCGCGATGAACCCGGAGTCTTTGAGCAGGGCGACGATGTTGGCCGCCCTACCTCTCCGGTAGTTCAGGATCTTGGTCTTCACATGTTCCGGGAAGGAGTCGTACTTGTCGCACTTGATGAGACCATTGATCATCGTCTCCACTGCTCCCCGGCTAGCACGTTACTCAAACGGGCAGCCTTCAAGGCCGCTCGTCCGTTGAGCTTGGAGATCCATCCGTTGAAGCTGTTCTGCAGGATGTTGGCCACGGTTCTGACGCGGCCGTTGACGGGGTAGGGGAACTGCAGCATGGATGCGCTGGGAGGAGTAGGGAGGCTTTTCTCAGCCCCAGCCCCCGTGATTGACCCGCTTTCCGCGGATGCCATATCACAGAATTCACGTTGAGGATCAACGGAAACAGGTAGAAGTACAAGACGACCGCCGGCGGCGGTGCGGGAAGCTGATGAAGATCACCAGTGGTCGCACAGCAGCGGTGCGAGAGGGTGGTG